ATTTGCTGAGTTGATTAGAGGGTAATATATACCCATTGCTGGAATGTCTTTTCAACTAAGCTAAGAACGTTTTTAAAGACAGTTTTTATAACAAGGTTTTAAACAAGGGTTTAAGCTTGTTTTGTTTGGTTTAAGTTTGTTTTTTGTTTGCTGTTAACAAAGAGAGAGTTTAAAATCAGGCTATTGAGAAGAGTTCATCTCAAACATTTCATCATCCTCTCTTTGTGTTTATATGAGAAGTTTGCCTACTATTTCGCTTAAAGCATTTTTACTATTGAATTTATTGCTTCTTATTGGCTAGTTCTTATTGATTAAGCTTTTTATTGAATCTCAGCTGTTACACATACCCACAATATGAGCTTGATTGTATCTTTGCATACATAGTTAAGTTTTGTGGTGAGAGATTGTAACTTTGATTTGTGCTTTTCATTGTGTTCTCATCTATTGTAAGAGAACAAATTTATATTTGTTAGGCATATGTGAGTGTTGTAAGGTTTTCGGTGAGCTATAGAAACCGAGCTGGTTGTAGTGAGGTTTTCGGTGAGCTGCCTACGAAACCGCGAGTGTCGTAGATGGCGTTTATCGGTAGGTCTAGAAACCGAGTGTTGAGGAGTGAGCGTTGATCGTTGAGCGTTGAAAAGCCGATACGTCGCGTGAGGTGTAACGACGTTATTCGGCGTGATACCGTAGAAAAGCCCGGTTGAATGTGGATTTCTCCCCGGGGAGTGGGGAGCGGAGACGGTAGGACGGAGGGGAGGTCCCGAACTCCGTGATTCATATTGCTGCTGTTTGAGTTTGTCTTTGGCGTAGTTGTTTTTGCATTTATCTTATACTTGCCAATTGTCTTGTGCCTTTTTATGAATCGCAGCTATTAGTTTACGAGTATTTACCCCTTTAAGTGTTTAGTTTATATCGCTTGCACTTACAATTGTGCTATATGCTGCTTCTGTTAGGATTAATATCTTATTGTTTGATATATCCTTGCATATATTTTCCTATCATATAGGATATATTCAGCCGTTGTGTATATTGCATATTCTTGCACATAACGCCTTTTACACGCTATCTTGCAAGAATATACTTTGTTAATTAATTTTAATATGGCATTTAATCGGATTAGATTAGCATAAGACCCTAATCACCCCCCCTCTAGGGTCTAACATATAGAACTTTCTCGCTTTCTTTATTTTGGCAGTTCTAATTTGCCTGTCTATTGCTAAAATGAGATACTTGTAGATTTTGGCTAGAGCTGTTTGAACAATTTTCTATTCTGTACTCCCCCCTATGCATTAATATATCCGATTTTTGCTTCTCCCCAAATGTGTTTCTTTTCCCTTTTTTTTCTTTTTGGACTAATTTTGCATAATTTTGATGGTTCTAACTCTGTGATCGCCTGATCCATGCAATTTATTATTGTTATTACTATTATTATTCATAATTTACTGGTTTGTAGCTATTTGTGCAATTTATTATTGTTATTACTATTATTATTGATATTTTACTGGTTTGTAGCTATTTGTGCAATTTGCATGGATGTTTGTAATCAAGTCAAGAGTAGCTTCGAAATGAACTTAAATTTACATTTCCTGAAGGTACTATAAATTTTCAGGATTTAAAATTATTGCAGGTACTTCGCTTTCATTGTTAGTTATTAGATTAGATGACAGAATTTTATTTGTTTTTTCTTCTAATTTGTGATTACTTATAGATAAGGGTCCATTTATGTTCAATTAATCTAATATTAATGTACTATTCTTTAGAAAACACAGTGCAACTTGTTGTCTTCTACAAAGCGGATAGTGTAACCTATTTTGGCATTCTGCTGTGGAACTATATCAAAGCTGAAGGTCCTCAAACTTAATATTCATGATGATCGGTGCGATATTAATTGATCAGCACTCTCCTATGACATAGCTGAATATTCTCTTAAAAGAAAATAATTTTACAATTACTGCCATATGTAATTTTTTATTGTTATGCAAGAAAAATATTTACCTTATGTTACAACTTAGGATATAAACTGAAGTTTGAATATACATTACATGATATAAACATATGATTGATGGCCTCCATGATGTTGCTACAAAGCGTCTTCGTTGCTTGAAAATTAACTTCACATGAGGAGATGCAGATGCTAGCTTTTGCAGCTCTTCAGCAATCATGGAGAAATTATAAGTCAGATCACTGTTTGAAGTTGTTATCGTCATCATTCGCAATTCTGGTGCAACTACAAGTATGCACCTGATGTAGTCCACCTCCCAAGATGCCCCTGTAAAGTCATTGTATACTACTTTTCTCAGCTCCCCAAGGTACGACAATTGATGCTTTGTGAAATATTGAGCTTTTAAACCAATGCTTGACTTGAATAACTGTTGATTCTATTGATATAAAGGAAAATAATATGTTATCTCAGGTTAAATTTTATGAGAAGTAAAAAATAGCAGCTATGTGATTCATATACTTACTATATTGTTCTCATCATGTAGTTTCATATTTCTAATGTTTAGAGTCTTCACATTAGGAAAACATCCAAGTGATTTGTACATAGCAACTGTAATGTTTGCCATGTTGGAGTCTACTAGAAGTTGCAAAACTTCAAGATTTTGATACAAAGAATCAAAAAGTGGGCCTTCCATCATACAACTCTACATTGCAAATTAGATTCATGAAGACAGTGTAACAAAAAGTATGTGTCCGAGCGAAAAATCATATGGATAAATGCATATCAACAGATAGGATCTATAGTGTTCTAATATAAACCACATTACATGATATTTGCCACTAAGTTTGTGTAAAGTTGTAATCCAAGTCTCACTTGATTTCCATGTTCGACGTAAGGATCTATCTGCTTGTTTGGAGCTTCAAATGGATTCCAAACTACAGGTTTTATGTATTCGTGGTAAAACATCTTTTTTGGCGAGCAGTGATTTTAAGATTCTTAGTTATTGTGTTGTTAACAGCTTCAAATGGTCTCCTTTCTCTTTCCAGAACTGCACATTATTTAAAGTGCAACATGCAAAAGTTTCAGAGCTCATCACCATCTACTGGCCTCTTCCTACTCAAAATTGAGACATAGCAAAAATTGAATGGTTAATTACAGATAGACCCCCTGTACTGTTACCTAATAGCAGATAGATCCCCTTAGCAAAAATTGAATGGTTAATTACAACTTAGACATTTTGGTTTAATTTGTTAGCTTGTTAGCTTGCATTTCCTTCAGTTTATGCTCTTCCTTTGGTTCATGTATGATGCTAGACAGATTTGAGTAACTAAGTATCATGTATAATGTTAGGCTGAGTTGTAAAGTGTGCGCAAATATAATTCTCATGTTTGATTTAGGGGTTATTTGCATGATTGCCATTGTCCTTTATGAGAAAACATTATTAGCTCACAGTACTCATTCAAAACTTTAGCATTATACCAATATAATCTTCTGCATGATTAAAGAGGAGGTGCTGAGCTAATAATGTTTTAGGGTGAAGAGGAGGTGCTGAGCTAGTATTAGGTTGTGTATCATCTAGTCTATTGATTTCCCTAACCAATACTCTCACAGGTCTCCATATGCTTATCTTATTCAGTCTCATTTATCCGATATTGATTTCCCTAACCAATACTCTCACAGGTCTCCATATGCTTATCTTATTCAGTCTCATTTATCCGACATTTTGGTTTAATTTGTTAGCTTGTTAGCTTGATTAAAAAAAATTATTGATCTGCTCATTTTCTTTCCAGGTTTTGGGCTCATATAGTGATGACATATGAATTACTCTTGTGTTGCTGCGGATAGGCTTTATCATATGGGCACTTCTAAATTCTAAATTACAATTTCTTTATATCGAGGATACTTCTCCTCACATGCTATTCAGTTTGCAACTCTTTGTGTTTTTTCTTATTAACATTTTTCTTGGTATATCAAAGACCAAATTGACTATGTAATTGTCAATTGTACCTGCATTTGAGAAGATAATGAAATTGTTACTTATTTGCTCTGATATCGACTTATTCTCACTTTGAATATAAGTGAAATATGAAACAAGCCTCAAGTGTTTTCCAGCCTGGATATCTGTGAAATATGCAATGGTAATGTATTATTTAGATGTTTTTATTTGTAAGATACCTGATACGTTTGTAGAGTTTTCTTCATTTTCATTTTGTTGAAAGTCTTGCAAGTTATGGTTGATAATGAATTTTAAAACTTAGCAATGTAGCTATCATCGCCCAAAATTAGCTAAATTTGTGTTTTTTGGTTACTATTTTACACATCTCCATTGTATTTGATGTAAACAAGATGGGTTAAGAGAATAAAATTTCATCAATTTTAAATTCAAATTCATGTATAATAAAGTACCCAAACACTAGATTTTGAAATCAAAGATTTCAAATCCTTTCATCTAATAAAGATATCCAAACAAAAGATTTCTTAAATCATGGATTTCAAATCTTAAATTTAAAATCCCTTGATTTTAAATCAACTTCCCAAATCCAAATCAAAGTTTCCAAACGCAGGGGTTTTTGCATTTGGGACTAATTGTTTATCCTGATTTATCTATAAACCCAATAACATTCTTTTGTATCATTAAACCCATTTAACTTTATATACTTATCTCTAAACCAAAATAGTATAATTTAAATATTATAGTATCTTGTATTTATACATTTTTGGGGTAAAAGCCCAAAATGCCGTGCCCTCAGTGGCCACGAAACAGCTCTCTCCTCACTGTTGTCTCCTCTGTCAATTTCTCTCTTACAAAATCATCCAAGTTCTCTCTCCACAAAATTCCCCGAAGAAAACCCCTTCTTCCTTCTTTCTCTCTCCGCTCTCCATTCCTTCTTGATGCCCTATCGGATCCCTTCTTCTCCCATCTTTTAATTTCTCAATCACCAGTCCAATTTGGGCAAAAATCTGAGCCCTACTTCGAGCCTTAACTTACCCATTCATTTCTTCACCTGACCAATGCCGCCATTGCCGACCTCAACTCCAGCTGCAACGCCGGCAGGCATTGTCGCCATTGCCCGGCCGTCGCCGTCAACTAACACTGCTGAAGGTATATGCATCACTTTCTCTAGCTTTAGTTTTGAGTTGAAGTTGATTCTATATTGTCACTAGTCTCTTTGTGGGACTATAACTGGGTTTTAGATGATGATCTCTCAGTATGATCAATTTGTGAGGAAATGGGCTGAAATTTAAAGGTTAGACCTTATGTGACTAAATAGGCTTGGATGTTGTGAGAATTAAGTTTGAGATGGGGGCAAGAAAAAGTCTTGAATGGAAAATGAAGGGTTGATCCGCTCTATCATTTGAGGAATGTTGACCTTTTATGTGTTTGCTTTCGATCTTATTATGTTAGTATGATGTTGGTTTATTCATGACTTCATTTGATTGCAAAGTGGGGAAAATAATTCATTCGTAGAATAAAGTAACTAGGATATTTCATAATATTTTTGGACCATCAAAGAGTAATCCAAAATCCAGAGATGAAGCTCATAATTGAACTTTGAATCAGTTTATACAAGATTCTTATGCGTAAGATTTATATAAGAATATGCATAAGATTCTATGCTCTTAATTAATACTCTTTTCATCCTTTCTTTGTCAACTCTGAAAATTTGTCACGCTTGTGCTGAATCAACTGGACAAGGATGAAGCCAGGTCATATAGTTGACTTGATTTTTTTTTTTATGGTTGAGTTGGTTTCTAGATATAAATTGCCAAAAACTAGAAGTTTTAATACGAGGTTTAATTGAGAGGATTTTCTAAACAAGTCTCAATTTCTTTCAAATGCATTCACTTTTGTGGCTCACCAGAAAGTAGGAGTGCAATTTTAGCATAATGTTTTTTTCTAGGCTTTTACATATTAATGTGACACATCACCCTTGAAATTTATTTATTTCCTTTTGTAACATCTAGGATGGAAGTTCACTCCTTATAATGGTCAATGATAATTAAATCTATTGGAATTATATATTGATCTAGTAACCCAAAAATAAACTATTGCAGAAGATACTTGGTCTAAACTAAATAGTATTGACATTCAGATGAATCGGCTCCTTAATCAGGCACAATCACTAGTCATGTCAAATGCTAAGGTCTGATTCCAATATGTATTATTTTTGCCCATCTAATTAATAGTAAATAGGAGAGTATGATACAAATTGCAAATGAAAAATTTCTCTTACTACTTGATACATCATCGTCATGACATAATTTATTGTGTGAGTACTATGATGTACGCGGTAAGTTGATGGTGGTGACAGAGATGAGGAGGATGATAGAGGTGGAGGCAAAGATGAAAATGATGTTGGAGTCAGAGATGAGGGGATGATGGAGATGTAGATGAGGATGTTGGTGGAGATGCAGATGTTAATGACGATGGAGATGAGAGGAATGGTGATGGAGATGTTGATGCAATGAATGTAGAACGAGATGTTGGCGGAGATGATGTTATTGATGAAATGGACATGGTTTCAATGGAAGTGGATAATGATGACTTCGTTCTTAGCCTGTGCAAGTGGATGGTGATCGAAGACGATGATGATGACTTTGTTTTTAGCCCCTTGGATAAGAAGGCGGTTGAAAACATGAAGTTAAAAGCAACCCTGAAATCCCTTCCATCAAAAGAACAGCTCCATTGAGATATCGGCTTGATGGAACATCTCTTCGTTTCACCTTTTGTCCTGCTTGCTCATCGAAAAGAAGTACCAAATTAACCGGAAAGGAAGAAAGTAAGAGATGATGAGAGATATCTCCTTGATAACTTTTGGAAGGACAAAAACATGACTATGTAAGGAATTTGAAAAACCCAATTTTATGACTTGTAAGAAGTTTTCATTGACTATTTACTAAGTTTTTTCATATGTACGGAGACATTTTTATGGACATCTAACGATGCTTGGTTAACCCGCAAAGATGCATATGAACTACTTCCTTTGTTGTTGTTTTTCATGAGATAGAAAGTGTTGAAGTACCTCGACAATGTGGGTAAGTGTATTCAACTTCTTCGTATATTGATATTTTTTCGTATGTTCTGACACATAGAAATTATATATTGCAGGTAAGAACTTTGGTAAGAACCTTTATATTTGTACTTATAGTAGCTTAGAATGCAGGGTGTTCTGGATGGCATACATGTTTAGCGTTGCCTATTGTCAACTGATTTCAATAGACCAAAAAGATTGTACAAGATGTAGAGCTCATATCTAGCACTATTTCCATCTGAAGGGAGAGTATCTGAATAAGGGGCAACATCGAAAGTGAAGCATTTATTTTGTGATTTCAATGTATTTTGTGTGGACAATGGTACTGAATTTTGGTGGGTATACTTTGTTCAATTTATATCTTTGTGTTTATTGTCATATTTGATGTATATTGTGATCTTGGATGTATTTTATAGTAATGGATGTATTTTTTGTGGACAATAGTATTGGATATGGTTGGATCTTTGTGTATTTTGTGCTCTTAGATGTATTTTGTAGTAACTGATGTATTTTGTGTGGATAATGGTATTGGATATGATAGTGGTCCCTTATGAATGTATATTATAAAAGCATAATGTGATATTATGAAAGTATAATGTCATATTATGAAAGTATAACGAGTTATTCTGAAAGTATAGCATGCTATTATAAAAGTATAACGGGTTATTATGAAAGTATAGCGTGATAGTATGAAAGTATAGTGAGTTATTATGAAATGATAGTGTGATATTATAAAAATATAGCGTGTTATTATAAAAGCATAGCGTGATATTATGAAAGTATAGCGGGTTGTTATGAAAGTACAACGTGGTATTATGATAGTATAGCGTGATATTATATGTGATAGCGGGTTATTCTGAAAGTGTAGCGTGATATTATGAAAGTATAGCGGTTTACAATGAAAATGTAGCAGGATAATATGAAAGTGTAGCAGATTATTCTGAAAGTATAGCACGATAATATGAAAGTATAGGGGGTTATTCTAAAAGTATAGCGTGATATTATGAAAGTATAGCGGGTTATTATAAAAGTATAACATGATACTATGAAAGTATAGCGGGTTACTATGAAAGTACATCGTGATAATATGAAAGTATAATGTGATATTATAAAAGTACAGCAGGTTATTATGGAAATGAAAGTATAACGTGATATTATGAAAGTATAAGGGGTTATTCTGAAAGTATAGAGTGATATTATGAAAGTATAGCGAGTTATTATAAAAGTATAACATGATACTATGAAAGTATAGTGGGTTACTATGAAAGTACATCGTGATAATATGAAAGTATAGTGTGATATTATAAAACTACAGTGGGTGGTTATGGAAATACAACGTGATAGTATGAAAACATAGTGGGTTATTCTGACGGTATAGCAGGATAATATGAAAGTATAGCGTGATATACTGAAAGTATAGCGTGATATTATAAAAAGTATAGCAGGTTATTTACAAAAGTATAGCGTGAAATTATGAAAGTATAGTTGGTTATTTTAAAAATGTTGTTGGCCTAATTGTTAGACCCTAGAGGGGGGTGATTAGGGTCTTATGCTAATCTAATCCGATTATATGCCAATTAAAATTAATTAACAAGTTATCCTAGCAAGTATGAAATACAACAATGTATATGAGCTAGGATAAACAATATGAACAACAAGATATATCCTAACAAAGAGATATAGGCAATGTATGTGCAAGGATATATAAACTCAAGGGTAATCAATCTAAACTAGATAGTGGGCAATATAATCAACAAGCAATATACAAAGGCGATATAAGATATGAACATAAAAGTAAGTGCGCCAATGCAATCACAAACAAACAATATGATTACGGAGTTCGGTCCCCACGACCTACGTCTCCGCTCCTCACCTCGAGGAGATCTCCACTATCACAACCGGGTTTTCTACGTTCACCCGAATAACGTTTACACCTCACAATACAATCACTATGCAATCACACCTCACACACTAAGTGTTGGTCCTAGCCCGTGTCCTCCTCCTCAAGTGCTCGGTTACAACCTCTCCCTAGGCACGTCAACCGACGTCACTCCTCTTGGATTCGACCCCGTCTCTCACCACACACTTCTCTCGGTGTACAAGTGTATTACAAGTGAATCCTCACAATTAGGAACAATATGACAAATGATTGTTCTCTCTAACAAGGTGAGAACTCAATTAAGCACAACTCTTAGTCACAAACCCACAACCCCAAATTATACTATGAATGTAAATACAATAAGCTCAATAGGTTGTGTGTGAACAAAGAGTATCAATAAAACTCTTGTAAATGCTTAAAAGTTTTTTAAACAAACACTAAAAACAAACTTAAACCCTTGATTAAAACTTTTTTAAACTTGTTTTAAAACTCTCTTGGATATCTTAAAACTGAGGTATAAGGGGGTATTTATAGCCTTCCAATACCTCAAATAAAAGCCCAAACCAAAAGACCAAAAACCCCTCCAACAGATACAAAAAAATAGCCGTTATGGGCATTCTGGGAGCTGGACGGTCGACCGACCTTTTTTTCGGTCGACCGCTCGCACTGTACAAACCTGAAAAAGTTCCAGAGACATTTCCGGTCGACCGGTCCGGTCGACCGGAGTTACTGTAGCAGTGCGCAGATGTTTTGTAAAATAAATTTAAAATAGTAAATAAACTCCAAAAATTATGAATTTTTTTGGGAATGTTCTAGACATATAGAATAACATGTCAGAGAAAGAATTTCTGAAAAATCTTTTCCCAGTTGAGAGAAATAAATATTTGAACACAAATTTACAGTTTCTGAAAAAACTGTTAACATATACGATTTTATAAAATTAATTGGCACAGTAAATCAACTCCAAAAATAGTAAAAACTGGAGAAAAGTTTCTAAACATGTAGATAAACATGTCAGAGAAAGAATTTTTCAAATATCACTTCTCATTTGCGAAAACTCATCAGTTTTGTAAAACATGCACGAACATGTGCACGAACGAAAACGTGAATTTGTAAATTCCTTTAAACATAACAAATCAATTCCAAACTTGATGAAACTTTGATAAATGTTTGCAAATGATATTTTGAACATGTTACAAAAAGAATTTTCCAATTTGCATTTACGAATTGTGAAATCTCATTATTTTGCATAAGTGTTCAAAACATGAAAAAAGTGATATACATGAAGTTTGATGTTTTGACATAAACAATGTTTTGAAACTTTGCACAATGATTATATAGACTTGATAAAATATGTATATGATGATTGTTAAGTCTATAAACTGAGAATACAATATTTGAGCTTAGAAACCAAATACGTGTGTGTATATGATATTGAGCTTAGAGTATCTAACACACATAATATAAAACCTAAACTAAATATACCAAAGCTTGATCTTGATCTCGGATGAAGCTTGAACTTGATCTTTAACTTGAATTGTATAGGCTTCAACCCGACATTCCGCCAACCTCCTTTGGATATGATCGTTGAAGCTCTATTCCATCCATCCTCCAACTACGTTGTTTGTCTATAATAAATAAGAAAACACAAATACTAGACAAACAACATTAGTGGTAAATTGTTTGTTAAACATCATCAAAATAAGAAGGCCAACAATCTCCCCCTTTTTTATAATGACAAACAATTTTCAAAAAGAGATATATGCATGAAGGAAATGAATATATAATTTATAATTCACATGCATATAAACAAGAAAAAATATACTCACAATATTTCTCCCCCTTTGACAACATCAAAAAGGGGACAAAAAGAATAAGAGAGCGAAAGCTCCCCCTATCAATAAGCATAGGTGACTATAAAAAAAAAACATAGAAAAGGGAATAGCTCCCCCTATCAAAATGTCATATTGAATATATGCAATAAAGATCATGGCAAATATATGTGAGCAATCATAGATGGAAAATATGCTAAACACAATTCACATACAAAAAGACAATGAGAACACACATATAAAATGTCAATATGAAAAAGAAGTGTCTCATATCAAAGAACATAAAAATATGTATAAAAGTAGATTTATGAAATCAAAAGAGAGAACATGAGAATCACGCAAAAAGTTTTCAAATAAAAACAAATCAACCAAATGAAATCATAAATCAAAGTTTATAGCCAAAAACAATGTTTGATCAATAAATAAAATTTCTTTGTAGGACTTGATCAAAACACATATAAAATACATTATAAGGCACGAATAGATGATCCATGAGCGCAAACATATAAATATCATCATATAAGTGAAATATAATGAATTCAAAGCAAAAATTCAAAACAAAATCTTTGACAAAAGAATTTCAAAAGAGGCAACAATATATCAAGCTCTTTAAGCTTGTTCCAACCCATATAATCATTCTAGCATCCGGTAAACATGATTGGGAATAAACACCCAATAAATCCGGAGGGTTATATAAACATAGTCCTCTCATCAATTAAAAATAATAATCATGAAAACAAAAGATTTTGATACAATAAAAATTGTTTTCATAACTAAAAGATTTTAAAGATATAATTTTCAAAACCAAGAAAAGAAAAAAGAAAAGCACTAAAGTACTTGGTTTTAAAAATCAAATTTGTTTTGGTACCCAAGTATTCTTGGTACCAAAAGATTTAGGGACATGACCCCTATCAATGAAGCTCAAAGCCCTAGGGTTATGAACCCTCTTGGGCATATGTGGTGCACGGGATCGGTCATAGCAATAATCACTCAAATGACCATTCCGATTGCAATATGTACAATGGAAATGAACCATTTGCTTATGTTGACCATTAAAAGGTGCACATGGAACATTTGCAAATAATGATAGATTATTGGAAGCTTTTTGCAAATGTGAAACATTATCAAAACAAAACTTTCCTAGGTGGCCATGTTTACCACAAACATTACATTTATAAACATATGGTCTACTAGAGATATTTGGCAAATGAGATTTATTTTTCAAATCAAAACAATATTTGGCCAAATGACCAAAACGACCACAGAGATCACATGAATACACATGAGCATGCATATGATGAACTTTATGAGAGTGTGCATGTGCATGTGCATGTGATGAAGAAGCCTTATGAGATGCACAAGAAACATTAGTCTTGGAGGATTTATGTGCATCATAGCAAAACTTAGCTAAATGGCCTTTACGATCGCAAATAGAACATTTATAAGCTTTGCTATACAAGTGTGCAAAGTGTACGGGTTTAGAAGTTGTAGTACGAGACTTTGCACCCAAGTTCATAAGTTTCTTATTATCTACAATGCATGTTTTAAGGGTTGAATTTAAAGATGATATGCGTTCTTTAACATGATCCAACTCATTTTTAGGCATACAAGCATTGGAAGTAGAAGTAGATGAAACATGATCATATTTAAATGAATTAAACTCATTTCTAATTATTTCTACTTCTATTATGGCATCATTCTTAGCATGAGTTAAGCTAGCAATAGATGAAGACATGTTATTATTTTCCAAACTTAATAAC